GCCTCGGGCCTCCCAAACTGTTTCCAAACTGCCAAGACTGGAGGTGGGCGCGTGGGGACTCGGGGAGAAAAGATGAGTTTTGGGGGAGGCGATTGTGTGTTTAGACGCTGGGAGCCGTGGGGGGAGGCAGACGTCGACCTAAGACGAGTTGCAATCGAGGTATCTCCGCTCCGGCTTCCTCTTCTGCCCGGCGACCCCCTCCCCCCGGAGCTGAGCTGGGGAAGGGAAACCAGGATTTTAACCACATTAGCATTCACATTCCTGGGAGGATGCAGCCCTCGTCTGGACCTGAGTGATAGAAGCTATTTTCTCTGTTTTTATTTTTGGAGGGGAGCGCCCTGTAATTGTCCTGAACACATGCTTCTACCCCCACATCCCCGGCTCCAGCCACCAACGAAAGAGAGTCCCCCTTTTTTGCATTTATCTTTTCCTTCCCCTTTCTTTATTAAAGGTCCGGGAGTGGTGGTGACCAATCAGAGCGCGGCTTCCATTTTGTGAGTTCAACTCGGAGGCTCCCGGGCTTCGCGAGGACGCGTTTGCAGCCCCCTCTGCCTCTCCTCTCGGGCGGCTCAGGCGAACGAACCGTCTCGTTGGGGCTTCGTGGTCGTGTATTTCATATTGGGGCTCTTTTCGGGGTTTGTAATTTGGCCGTGGGTAGGTAATTGGCTGGAGCAGGGCGGCAGGGCGCGGCAGCCAATCAGCGCGTGGCTTCTATAGGGCTTGAGTTATTAGACGCTGATCTCAAAACATCCTTCATCAGACACCAAGGAGAGGCCAACAGATGAGGGGAGCCATTTTTCTGCAATGGAATTAAATGGCCAAGTGGGTTTTTCCTTTGTTGCAAGTGGGGAATGTTTTTCCTTTGACTCCACCATCCAGTTCAGGACGCCTGAATGTGTTGTTTAACATTTGTCAACAGGCTAAAGGACTCACTATTGGAAGAATGAAGAAGACCTTTTAAAAAGATCTGGATTTTTCCTTATGACTTGGAATCCATCTTTGTCTTGTATAACTAGGTCATAGCACACCATTAATGTCAGCAGTTAACAGTTTTGAATTCCAAAAAACCTAAGTAAATGACATATTTAATTTTTTTCCTCTTTTTTTTCTTGGGTGGGTGGGGGGAGCTTGGAGCTGTCTTAATCTGTATTCTCTTTGAACAATAAATTTTTAAATATAGTTTCCTCTATTAAACACTTATACCTGGCCATCTTATTAACTCCTTCTCTCTTTTTAACAAGGTAATGTTTTAAATGTATAGTTTTAGGATTAGCGAAATGGCAGCAACAACAAAAAATTGTGAGCAGTTGTTACTCTTTTAAGTTTTTAAAAACCTTTTACATTGTAAGTACCCAATCCATTCTGTCCTTACGCAGTGCAGTTTTCATGTAAATGTTGGCTGAGATGTCCTTTAATTTTGCGAACCTTCATCTGCATGTATGTCTTTGTCTCTCTTGTCTAATATAAGCCAGTTAAAATGCTTTTAGACGATTTTGCTTTATAAAGCTAAGGTTTTTAGCTCAAGCTTTTAAAAATGTTTACAGCAATAAATGCTAGTCAGCTTCCTTCCCAGTAACGTGTACACTTTCTTTGAAAATCGATCTATTTGAAGAAAAACAGCTCTTGTTTTTCTCTTCTTGGGGGTGGGGGAATAGGGAGAGAAAGGAAGACCTTCTCTTTGTGTGGAAAGACTAAAGCGGTCACAGGAAACTAGATTAAAACTGGAAAACAAGTCCTAGCTGGTTCGAGCCAAACACCAACGTTAACTCGGTGGTATTTTCTATGGTGGTTGGGATGGATGTTGCGCTTTTGCCTTTTGTTTGACTGTGTGTTTTCGCCTTTTGTCTCTTAATGACGATCACACCATTGCTATATCCAGAGCAGTAAACAGTCCTCTGCGAAGCCGACTTTTTGCCAACCCAACTCTGGAAAATGCAGACGTGGAAGGAAGCAGAAAATGCCATGAGAGTATAACTTACAAAAAGGTAACAACAACAAAAAAGACAATACCATAAACCCAAATTTTCCCAACTAATCAATCAAAAAAGTGTTTTTTATAATAATGTCTCCAAAACCACCTCCCAGCTTCTTCTTCTAGACTCCATGGCATCTGGCTGAGCGGGTAAGTAAAAAAAAAAAAAAAAAAAGTGCCTTTTGCCCCTTCGAGGAAATCCTTTATCGAGCAGGCCAAGGGCTGCAAGTGTTTGGGAGCTGAGGGGAGAAGGAGGTTTCTGGAGCTTTGTGTTTGGCAGCCAGAGCGGAGTGCAGGGACGAGGGGGGTTCTTAAGACCCCTTTGCCTCTTGGGCCCCAGAGGCCAGAAGAGGGTCTCCCCAGCGACGCTCGGGCATCCGTAGAGCCGCCTGTGCTCGTCCCCCGGGCTCTCCCAGGGTCGAGCCTTGGTGGGGAGAAGACATCGAAGTGCTTTGGAGACAGGGTCTCAAAAAACGAGGAAACCTCCCCGCCCGGTCGAGGGGCTCCTTCTCTCTTGATTGTGGGGGTTTTTCACCCCGAAGCCGGCTTTCCGGGGCTCCGGGGCGCGCCTGTGCTTCCCAGGCGAGCAAGGACAAAAGGCCGGCGTCCATGTTGGCACCATGACGCAGCATCTCTCCCGCCTGCAGCCCCGCGCTGCCTGTCCTCCCGGCCGCGCTCGCTCCTCCCTCCCAAACACGAGTTTTATTTTCAGGTTTCGAACAGCAGAGCCGCGGGCTGGGCTGGGCCGGGCTGCGGCTGGGGCTGCGGGCGGGCCGGCTCGGCCCGGCAGGGCTGCGCTGGCTAATGGCGGCCGCTCTTCTCTTCCTTCCTCCCCCTGCTTCCTAGCTCGTTGGGCGCCTGGAGCGGGTGGCGGGCCCAAGGCCCGCTCCGACCCGAGATCCTGCAGGGCATCGCGCCGGGGACGCGGGCCCCGCACGTCTGGCCCGTTTTGGGGGCCGCGGGCCTCGGGGGCGTCGCGCGCGGCGGCTCCCGCGCTCGACTTCTCAGGGCGCGGCGGCCAGGCGGGCGCCATTTCGTGCGCTGCCTGCGGCTCGGGCGGTGGCGGCCTCCGAGCGCCAGGCTGGAGGAGGGGAGGGGAGGGAAGGTCTGGCGAGCCGCCGCCCGCGTTCCAGGCCGCCGGGGGCGGGGACCCGACTCTCCGCAGCGGCCCGGGACTTGGAGGCCCACGCGGGCACGAGGCGGCCTAGCTACCTGGCCGGCTGCCGCGGCCCTTCCTCCCTCGCGCGCGGGAGCCAGTAGCAAAGGGCCACGGAGCCGGCGCGTGGCCCAGCCCTGACCCCTGGCCACCCCCCCCGCCGCCCACCCGGGCCTTGGCGTCGGGGCCCTGCCTCGCAGTCGCCCTTTGATAGCCGAACCAGAGGGGCGGGTCTCCCCCTTTTGTCCCCACAAGGGACATCAAGGCCTTCGCAGTGGCCGCGGACTCCCCATTTGGCCGCCCTGGGCACACCCCTCCGACCCAGCTCTCCTGCCAGGAGGTGGGGGTTGGGGCCTGGGAAAGCCGAGTGGGCCTCCCCGGGATCCCCCCAGCGCCTGGGGGGTAAAGCCTCAGATCTTGGCCTTCCTGGGGGAGGGGATGCCGACTGGGCGGGCCTTTGGAAATGTAGATGAGTTGCCTCCAGCAGCTCGGCGCCGGGGCTGAACCTAGGTGACTCAGCCACCCCCACCCCCCATCTATTCCTGGGTGAGGGCCGCCTTGGCAGCTGGGAAGGGGGGGTAGCATTTGTGAGGTTCTCTTTCCGCCTTGAAGACCCTGTCGGTTTGCATTTGGCCAGTCAGTTAATTCTCTGACACGCGTTGGGGATTGCCATAACAGGCCCTCGAAATTCTTCTCCCCAGGTTCTTGACCGGAGAAGGGGCCATGTCTTGGTACCCCCGCAGAGTGGACAATCCTTTCTTCTGGACAGCAGGAGCAGGCCTAGTGTGACTGACAGTCCTCCCACTGAGGTAGGTGAGAACCCTTTCCCAGGCTGTGAGGGCGATTTGGGGGCTTTGGCCTGACGCCCGGGCGGGTTGGGATCCCCAAACCCGCTGGGCTGGTTCTGCGGCCCCTCCCCCACACAGATGCGGCGACTGTGTGTGAAATGGGCGGCCTGCTGGGTCTATCCAGCCCCGCCTGTCAGCTTCTGTTGTCAGGCATTTGGGGCGTGCAACTCTGCTGAATTTAGCAGCTAACTAGAGGCTGCACTTGCAAGTATTCCCCAGTTGTGTGTTTGTGGTGGGGGTAGGGCCTTGGATGCCTCTTGCTTTTGAGACGTCCTGGCCGCAGCCCCCTCTTCCGGCCTTCAATATGAGCCAGCTCTGATGTCTGGTTGCTAGTGAGATGAAGAAGAGACAGGCATGAGATCTGGGCCAGCTTTCCCGGAGGTTTCCGTGACTCTTCCTGCCCTTTCCAGGGTATCCTCCTTGCTCCCCAATGGGCAGGCATGTATAACCTGATTTCTAGTGTGAAACCTCAATGGCTGTTTACCAGCTGTGACCTTGCATGAGTTACAGGGTCTCTGAGTCCCTTTTTTTCCTCCACAAAAGTGGGGCTAGATTACGGCTTCTCAAACTTTCAAAGGTGCCAGAATCCCGCAGGAGACTCATTAAAAACAACTGTCCCCGGTCTTTGGATTTCTGGTTCAGGTGGAGTGCGAGAACTTGCACTTCTAACAAGTTCTCAGCCAACATGTTTTGAGATCCTCTGTGCTAGGCAGCACCTGGGGTGTTGAGGTGCCTGGCAGGTAGCAGTTGTTCAGTGGGTGCAGCTATATTCTAATACCAGCTGACCTTGGTTGTCAGCCCTCCTAACCGTCCTGGAAGCACCATGGCTGGAGATGGTGTGCTCCCTGATCTCTGACCCCTGATTTAGACTGTGATGACCTAACCGATTGGGTCCAGGTGCCTCTGCTCTTGGCTCCTGGCTTCCAAATTGAAGCAGCCCTGCCCTTCCCCCACCCCTGTGTGACGTCTATACTGACTTGGGGGATCCTATGAACTTAGTTGTAGGCATTTTGGTACTTAATCAAGGGAGGCTCTAAGACAGCCGTAGGTTGGAATCTGCATGGTGCGGGTGACCTTGGGCAAGCATCTCCCCTGTGAAATGATGGTAATGATGCATGCTGGAAAGGCCAGTGGGAGGATTAAGTGCGATTAAGGGGGCCGTCCTCCCCAGCCAGCTTCACAATATTCAGCCTCCATTGTGATCTGGGTTGTTGCTGGGAGTGGCTGCCGCGTGGGGGTTGGGCTGCCTCCAGAGCTCCTCCCCTGCCAGCCCACCTTTTAAAGCACGCAGGGACGCCTCCAGGCAGAGTGAAAAATGTTTTCCTTAGGAAGGCTGCCTGCTAGTCTCTGGTAGAGCCGGGCTGCTGGTAGAAGCCTCTGATAGGATCATGATTTGGAGTCACCCACCAATGACCCAAAGAAAAGTGACTTACTTGCCTAGGGTCAGGAGGCCACTACTGGCTCAGCCAGGATGGGGTTCCAGGTGTCTTGACTCTCAGCCCAGTGCTTGGGCCCATGGCACCCTGTCGCCCCAGCTGTCTGGGTTATTTTGGGCTCCCTCTGGTGCCAGCTGTCTGCTTGGCATCACTGCACAAGAGCTGTCTGGTTGGAAGTAGCCAGCACGGTGCTGTTGGCTTCTCCTGGTGAGGGTCAGCTGGGTCTCCAGTCCCAGATGAGCTGCCCTTGATCCCTCTCCTTTGCTGGAAGTGGGGCTGTACCCCACTGATCCCATTCTAAATTTTTGTTAAAGAGACCAGGCTGTACCCCATGGTCCTGCCCCCCAGCCCTAGTGAAGGAAGAGACTGAAAGTGCTTTGACGAAATTGCTGTAGTTCCCATTGATGCCCATACCTTAGTCACTTAAATGATAACCTCACTGAATTCCCTTGACTCACTGGGGTCTTTACCTCCCCCTGATTCAGATGCCTAAATGATTGATTTATGTCTTCCCCTCCCAGCTGGCCTAACAGCCAGTCCTTCCACTCCTGTCCTTGGACCCTCACGAAGCAAGAAGGTGCTAAACTATAGTCTGGATGTGATTCTTGGAAGGTAGAGATGGCTCAGAGCAATGTGGAAGGATTGTGCCTCTCCCTGCTTCTGACTTTCCAGTACCTCCCTCTTCTTTCTTTGTCCCCACCTCCCTTCTCCTGGGACATGGAGGGGCGGGGCAGCCTGTCCTCCTGTCATTCTCCTGGTTCTAAGAGAGGTGCTCCACCCACAGTCACCCAGTGAGCTAGGGGCGGGCCTGCTCCAAGCAAGCAGAGAGAAAGCCACGCCAGCGGAAGGGTTTCCGGGACTGGGAGGAGGCTGGACTAACCTTACTACTGAGAGGCTAGTGTCCCACCTCTTCCGGTGCTGAATATGACCTTTTAGACCCTCACCGTAGAGACCGATGACATGTAGATTCCTGGACTGGGGAGAGTGACATCCCACCATATAGGATCTCTTGACCCCAATGCTTTCTCCAGCCAACTTGTGACTACCTTTCAGTTCCTGCCTATGTGAACTGGAAGGAGGAAGTTAGAAGGTAACCTTCTGAGTTCTTTCTAAATTTTTGTTAGAGAGGGAATCTCACTTCATTGCCCAGGCTGGCCTCAAACTCCTGGGCTTAAGTGAGCCTCTGCCTCAGCCTCCCAAGTAGCTGGGACCATAGGCACATGCCACCTTGGCTTATGAGGGGAGCATTTTGTACTCCAGAGGTGACCTACCCATCCTCCACCTGCCCTCTAATGCTTATAGGCTGCTGAGGCCTAGAGGGAGTCCTTTAGCCAGGTGGATAGACAGCCTGCTTCTCCCAGGTATCCTGGCTTAGCCACCTGGCTTCTCTGGGCCCTCCGGAAGTAGCTTAAAGCTCCTGTCTTTGGGCTGGGGGTGCTGGGATCTTTATCTTCCATTGTTATTTAATCATTGGGTGGTTAAATAATTTATGGTGCCTCAACACCCAGGGAAGTGGGTGCCCCATCCTAACTTGGACTGGCTGGACTTTGCCCTGAAAGATCAAAGTGGATCAGCACCCTCCACACCCCTGCTCCGTTTCCCTGTTGGCTTCTCTATGGCAGAGGCCTCCTTGTGGCTACAAAGGCCACCTGGTATCTCCTTGGGCCTTCTGTGTCCCCCAGCTCTTGCAGCAAGAATCAGCTTAAAGATTTTTTCTTTCCCTCCTAAAACTCTCCAGGAATTCCTGGTGAGCGGGAGATTGACTTGGGTCTGGGTCCTCAGAACATCTCTTGTAGGTGAGGGAGCAGACCTCTTGGGTGGGTGTGCCCAGCTGCAGCTGGCTTAGCCTGGCAGGCCTCCTCTTAGGAAGTTCTGAGCAGCTGGCTAGGCTCCTGGGTATTTTTAGCTACATATCCAGCCCCACCATTACCATGAGTCCTGGGTCCAAATCAAACACGCTCCAGGCTGGATGGGGCTCTGCCAGCCTTCTGACCAGGCAGGGGTGGGTGGGTAGGCAGTCTCAGGCCAGTGGCAGCTGTTCTCCCTGGGCCCAGGCAGGAGAATGCTGGTATTTGCTCCTTTCCTCCCTTGCATTTTGTGCAGGCTTGCTCTGTTGCAGAGATCATAGCCACATTTCTAGGACGAAGAGTGGATGAAGGATGAAGATACTGAGGTCTGAGGATGTTGAGAAATGTCAGCAGCCCTCTATGGTGTGTATTGTTAACCAGGTGTTATGAGCCTGAGTTCTCTCTTCCTGTCCCTATCTTTCCCTGAGCTTCAGGGTGCTGGGTGCAGCTGGAGGGGAGAAGCCAGGGGCCCCTGCAAAGGTAAGTGGTTCTCACCCCTACTCCCCAAACTCACTTTTCATAGCACAGTTACTCCATCCTTGGTTGGCCCCCTCTTTCCCTGCCAACCTTAGGGTGCCACTGAGAGACTGGCACCAGATCCAGCCCTGCCTTGCCAGCAAGCTGGCTCCTTCCTGGTCACCCTGGGAAAACTCAGGCCTAGATGTGGTTGGACTCCTCCCTTGTGAAGGAGCCTCCTTCCAACATCCCCCTTGAGCCTGGCAGTCAGGCCCTGCAGCATTGAACCCCCATTACTTGTCCATGTGGTTTGGGTACTAACCCTTGAAAATGGTTCACCTGTGGCCCACTCCAAAGCCTCACCATGTCCTGGTTGTCTCACTCTCTGGCCACTGCAGAATCTGAGGCTTTCCTAGTTACAGTGCATTTGCCCAGGCAGAGTATCTAGCCTGCCATCCAGCACTGCCCAGCTTAGTTCAAATGCCAACCACCTCAGCTTTCCCTGGGACTTGACTGTGCTCTCTAAATTGCTCACATCTCCCAAACCCCATCAGAAACTGCTTCCCCAAGACTGAGCTCTTATGAGGCAGGAACCCAATTGCCTCTCAATAAACATGTTGCAAAAAAAGGAACGGATGAGTCTCTGTAAATTTGTCTTGTGGGTCCTTGACACAGAAGATGGTCCTCTGCCTGGTGACTGGCTAGAAGTCTTCCACCTAACACCCTGGGCGGATGCTGGCGCCGCCCTCCCTGGCTCTGGCTGTTGTCTTGGTTTCCACCAGTAGTTGCTGCTGCCCCCTGGTGGCCAGAACTTGCCTAGCACCTGCTGGAACTGAGCTAGCACTTAGGAGCTACTAGGTTGGCAATTTACCTTTTACCTCCACAAAGTGAAATTTACTTGACCTTCCCTGAGAACTTGAATATTAGGAGTCTTGGAGGCATGGTCAAGGGCAAGAACATCCTGATTTATGCCAGCTCCTCCTCGAAGAAATCATGTAATTTGCCATACACATCCCCCATGATGATACCAGGTTCTCTTAGACACCAGCTTTACCTACCCCAGCAGGGAGGATCACGTCATTCGACCATGCTTTGTTACTACTGAGGATAGTCATCTCCCTCCAGTCCTTGCTTGAGTAGGGGACAGTCAGCCCACAGTAACACAGGGAAGGGATGGCCATGAGTGGTCTCAGCCAGCTAGCCTGATAGTACCTGCATTGTAGTAAGCTCTCAAACCAACAGTGGTTTTGGTCAGGGGATAGGAGGAGTCCTGGGGTGATGGATGTAAGGCTACTGGGCAGAACACTTAATAACGTTTCTTGGTGAGACATTCATCCAAGTAGGTCTCCCTTGGCTTGCCCCTTCCCCCACGATGTCTGGCTGGTTTCACGCCTCTGGCCCCTGCAGGAAGGAAGCTATTGGCCACATGTTTGGGTACTAACCCTCGAAAGCCTTTCACCTGCGGCCCACTCCAAAGCCTGGTCCCGACAGAGGGCGCCACGCTTCCTCCCTGCAGAACTAGGGAAGTGGGGGGACGTAGGTAACTGTCATTCCTCACCGCTAGCCAGCAAGCGCACCAAGGTCCCCTGAGGGTCAGGGCCAGCCTAGGTGAGCAGACACGATTCCTGTGCCATAGCTTCCCGGCACCACCGTAGCTACATTTTATAGGGTAACAGGCCAGGGGCTGATTTCAACCATGCTACATAGCCAGAGATGGGGGGTTTCCCCAGAGCTTGAAACTCTCGGGCTCCTAGAACCCGGCTGCTAGGGGTACAATCCTCCAATCAATAAGTTCCTGTCCGAGGGGGCGGCCGAGATGGCCAATCAGAGGGTCCTCGCCAGAAAGGCGGAGCCTGCCAATCAGGGGTGCGGGTAGTGGAGCGGCGGAAACGATCCAGCCTTGACGCGCTGGGATGGGAGTGGGAACTGCGCTTACGAGCCAGCACCCCGTTTCTCAGCTGCCTCAGTTTCCCTGGGAATTTGAAGTGACCTAGGGCCGGGACCCTGGTAGAAAGGAAACAAGCCGGAGGTGGGCTCGGGAGGCTGCCTGGTGGAGGTGGTGCTGGCTCGGGGGCGGGGCCTCCTTAGCCCCGCCCCTGCATCGACCGCTTAGCCGGCTTCGCCGGGCGCACAGCCTCCAGTGCAGCTGGCTCCGGGCTATGGACACCCCCGGGGCCCCAGCCCCGTCCGCGGCTCCGCGCCCGGGCAAGAAGGAGCTGAAGATCGTAATCGTGGGTGACGGCGGCTGTGGTAAGACGTCGCTGCTCATGGTGTACAGCCAGGGCTCCTTTCCCGAGGTGAGGCCCGCCGGTGGGTGGGAGGGGCTTGGGACCACTGGGGGTGAGGGACATCCTCAGACCGCGCCTAAGCCTCGACTCGGAGGTCCCGAGGTCCTGAGCCTTTAGAGGCGGCTGCCACTCCGGGTAATCCCATGGGAATTCCAGAGCCCAGGGAACTGCGGAGCACTGAGCTGGATGGGGTGAGATTGGTAGGCAGTGGGGGTTCAGCCGGACCCTGGGCCCCCGCCGCACCCCCTAAAGACCACCCCTGCTCTTCCTCCTACAGCAGTACGCCCCGTCAGTGTTTGAGAAGTACACGGCCAGCGTGACAGTGGGCAACAAGGAGGTGACCCTGAACCTCTACGACACGGCCGGTAAGTGCCCCAAAGAGCACAGTTTGCTCTCCAGGGGTTTCCCCGCTGGGGCATCCCGGTCTGGCAGCCTCTGCCCAGCCTTGCTGCTCCATCAGACCAGGAGGCAGTACAGGTCTGCTAGCTTCGAGGCCGAAACCACCAACCGAACCGTCCCACCTGTAAATGGAGGAGATTGGATGAGGTGAACTCCTGGGCCACCCTCCCATGTCTGTGCTGAGAGCCCCCCTCCCCCCTGCCTGGCTTGTTTCTCTCCTGTGGTTCTAGAAAACGTGGGCAGCGCTTCTGCCTTCCGTGGTTCCAGGATTTCATGCGTTACTTGTGGTCTCTGAAGATTCTGTGGGCTGCGGATTTGAGTCCCCAGGGAGTCTCTGAGCTGCCTTTCTGAATCCTGTGATTCTAGGATACTCAGCTCCCCATCCAAGCTGGGTACTGGCATGCTGTGGCTGGCAGTTCTGTGTCTGTGTCCCTTGCTTCTGGGATTCCATGGACTGCAGTCCCTGCTTCTGGAAATCTGTAGCTATAGTTGACTTTGTGCTTTCCTGGTTTGTCTGGAGGAAAAACCAGACAGCTTAAGAAAATGAACTGAGGAAGAAAGAGGAGACCTCTAGGAAACATAGGCCCCAAATGAGGCTCTAACACCTGCAGCTCCTCACAGGGGGGTTTATGGTTTTCTGGCCAGAGGCATGAGAATTGAATTGGGGGGATGGGAGAAACACCGTGGGAAGACCCTGCTCACTTCTGAGTGACCTCAACGTTGGAGAGCAAAGGTTGGGATTCCCAGGTGGAACCTCACCCAGTTCTGTGACTCAGTCATCATTGACTTGGGTGGAACTGTGTCACCAAGTGTCCCTTCCCCTGCCTAACAAGCTTTGTGCATGTGAGGTGAAGTCTTTGACCCTCCTAAATGAAGCCTTAATCTAGACATTCCCCTTGGACAAAGGCTGTCCCTGGCCCAGACCTCTCCTCTATTCCTGCCATGAGCAGGCTTTGCTTGTAGGAGTGACCCACCCTTACAGTAGCCTCTGAAGATCCCTGCTTTTGGATGAGGGCCCTGCAGGGCTGCCTGCAGAGAAGAGCGGTGCCTCCAGGCCTAGGTGAGCTGGGAAAGCCAAAGGAACTCCCAAGGCAGGTTCCAGAGGGCAGTACAAATATGTCTGGGACACTTTTATTTTCACATTTCTTGTTCAGGAGTCAGGGATGGGCAGGGCTTTATGAGTGGAGTGCTGCGGGGAGGGGGAAAGAGCTTGCTTTCAACCTGAGGCTCTGGGAGAGGAGAGGGGAGTTTGCTCTCTCCTCCTCCCTCTGCCAGGCCTCTCCTGTTAGATACCAGAGTTTTCTGTTCAGGGCAACCTCCCCCATCAGACCAGAAACAGAGATCACTTCTGGTTCCTGGCTTCACCCAGAGAAAGATGCTCAAAGAACACCTCGGAGTAGATTGTCATGTGAAGGTTCCAGAAAGTTGCTACTTGGTGGAAGAGTTTGTAATAAGAGGCCCTTCCGGAGGGATGGAGGGAGTGTCTGTTAACTGTCATTAGAAGCTTGTGAGTGCTGTGCAGTGATGGTGCTGTCCACAGCTCCCTGCCACCTGTTTTGGAGTTAAACCGGGCTCCTCTGGCTGGGTATCATTGGGAACATCCAGTTTTCTCATCTGCCATCAGGGCTAAAATGGTTATGAGAATTAAATCAGAATAATATGATGTGTGGCACTTCACATAGCAGCTGGCTCTGAGGAAGGTACATGTTGTCACTGGGATTTAATTAAATCCTGTCATTCAAGGCCCAGGACCCAGCCCAAGCCTGTGCTTTAGGATCCAGGGCCCAAGAGCTCTATGCTGGCCCCCAGGCCTGGCTGTATGGGGGACAGCCATCTTCCTGGCAAGACTCTTCCAAGCTGCAGAAAAGCAGTGCTGGGGTTTGTGCCCTCCATGAATGTGTGTGTGTGTGTGTGTGTTGGGGGGCGGGTATCAGGGAGGTGTCCTCATAGTCAGCACAGTAGATCAAGGAGGGATTCTCAGTGGGGAAGGAATCTAGCTGCTCCCTGTGACCGGGGAAGCCCTGCTGGTGGGAGGAAACTCCCTGGTTGGTAAGCAGTGCGGGGATGAGCCTGGGTCATTCCTCCTATGTATCAAGTGCTTGTCGTAGAGGCAACTCAGGAAATGACTGTGGAATGAATGAATAATACATCTGAATGTTGGCGGCCATTCAGCTCTGCTGTGGGGAGGGAGGATGGATACTGGGAGAACTGGGCAGAAAAGGCTGGCCAGGTGATCATCGCGAGGAAGGAGGAGGCTAAGGAGGGGAGGGGAATGGATGAAGTAGAGATGAGTCTAGTAAATGTTGTAGAAAGTTCCAGAATGATGGGTTAGCCCTGGTGAGGGAGAGGGGCATCTTCCCCATCAGTGGTGACCAGAGCTATGGGAATTGAGTGGCCCCAGGGTGGCTGAATTTCTCAACACACCCGACCAAGTGACAGCTGTGGGCGGTGCCAGGACCTTGCCCACAGTGCCCGCATGCAAGGCCAGTCTGGCTGCCTGTCTCCATCCTGCGGAAGCAGTTACAGACACCCAGTGGTCTGACAGAGCACCCTCTGCTCAGAGGTGGAGAGAGGGTGGGGCCCAGAGCACCCATTGCTCTAGTAGCCTGGCCCCACCCTGACATCCTCAGAGGCAGGAAGCTGTGGTGAGGCCTGAAGGTTCCTGCGCAGGATGGCAAGGCGAGGAGGGGGCTGCGACACCAACTAGAGACTGCACTCTTGGGCCTGGGGATGGGATCCAGGGTGAAAGGGGCACAGAGTGGGTGGAGAGCCTGAGATGGGAACAATAGGAAAAGAGGGGAGCAAAGGAGCTGCTAAGACAAGGAATCAGAGGTGAGGGTGCTGTGGAGCCCTGGAGCCAGCCAAAGCTGGGGACCAGTCAGAACATGGTTCTGGCTGAGGATCCGGGCTGCCCCAGCTACTCCCCTCCCTAGGGAGGAAATGCAGGTGGGAGGGCCCCAGCACAGCTAGTTGGAGTGGGTTCCTCCTCTTGCAGCTTCCCCTTCTCAGGCCGCCTACACCCCTCCCCTGTCCAATGCCCTGGACAGATCTGGGAACCACCTGCTCTGTGCATGTCCTCCAGCAGATTTGGGGACAACCACTGTAGCACAGTGACACTCTTTCTCTCCTCAACCCAGCTTTGGGCATTAGGGACTCCTGTCCCAGAAAGAGGGTTGCAGAGGCAGAGCTCCATCCCTTGCAGGAAATACCCCCAGGTTGGGTGAAAACCTCACTTCCGCCCTGCCCCACACTGACTGTAGGAAGAATGGGAGGCTTCAAGGGAGCTTGGGCCCAGAGACCTTTCCTCATGAGAAATAAATACATCCTTTTGCACAGGACACTGGGATGTTTTTAACCTCCAAGCCCATCATGGAGGCTAGGTGGCAGCTCTACATGGCTGAGCAAGTGACTTGGCCCCTGTAAGCCTTGGCATCGTTGTGGGCAAAATGGGGAAGGGCAGTGGTATCACCTCATGTTTGGGAAGTCCCCTAATGCTATGGGTCTAAAGATTCCTGGGCTGGAACTCCACCCAGGCTCGTAACTTCCCTTGGAAGTTTCTATTTCCGTAGGAACCATCACAGCAGTCCCTCACCTCTGCCTGGCCTTGCATGGCATGCAGGCCTTTTACTTCCCAACTCAGGGCAGTATCACCCCCTTTCTCAGATAAAGAAATGAGGCCCAGGAAAGGAGGGTGCCGAGGTCCTGGGATGTGCATCTCAGTGCAGGCTGGACATGCAGTCCACCCCTCCCAGGGAGGCAGGGGTCAGCAGTGCATAGAAGTGCCTCGTTTACAGCCCTAGGTCTTCTGAGGGGCTCAGAGTAAATCCTAGGGAGAGCTAAACTGGTGAATTTAGGCCAGGAAGACACTCTGGAGGAGGTGCTAGGGTCTGGGCTGGCTGCTTGTCTCCTCCCAGAGTCCCTCTTTCTTGAGGTGACTGTGTCTGCAGCCACGTTTCCTCACCTGGTCAGGGCTGGAGTGTGTGGGTTGACACATGTTCCGTACCTTCTGGGGTGGGTTGAGACAAAGGCACCTGTATAGTCCTCTATCATTTATAAAGCTTACCATTAGCTGGGTGACTTTGGCAAGTCACTTCACTCTTTGTGCTTCAGTTTCTCTATTTGTAAAATGGGACAACGGTAGTGTCTATCTTGTAGGGTTGTGAGAAAGGCTGAGTTCATTCAGGGAAAGGGCTTTGGATGGGATAAGTGTTCATGATGACTACTGTAGTTATTAACCACCCTTAAGATTGCTGTCATTGAAGCATACCTGCTTTTCACATGGCCATTTTGCAGGTGAGGAAACTGAGAGCCAGGAGTTAATTCCTAGTGGGGAAGGTTGCCAGGGAGAGCTAGTGCTCTGAGTGGCCTGCAGGCAGCTGACCTGGGCCCTGGGGACTGAGCTGGTGCTCCAGTTCACAGGATGTCTGCCTTTGACCCTGACAGAGGCTGCCTCAGCCTTAACAGGAAGAGCTTTCCGTGCCTGGCTTACCCCCTGGGCCGCTGCTGGAATTAGCACAGGCCAGGAAGCCAGATGCCCTTGTGAGTAGGCGCTGGAGGGCGTGTGGGGGCACAGCTCCCCCTTCGTTCCTGAAGTCACCAAACATTTATTGAGCTTACCTGTGTTCCAAGGAATGCCACAGTGAACAGTGCAGAGACAGCCTCCATGCTCAGGAGCAGACAAACAGAAAAGAGAAAAGTACTGGCACATTAGGTAACCATTTGTGCTGTGAAGCAAAATAAAGCTTCTGTCACAGGCCAGACTGCCAAGGAGGCTGCTGTTTCAGGGCAGTCAGCAAAGGTCTCCTGGAGGAGCCAGGAAAGAAAGGGGGAAGCAGGCCAGGCTGCTACCTGTTGGAAGAGCCTTCTGGAAGAGGGGCCAGCCAGAGCGGTACCTGTGTAGGGGGCAGGCTGGGTGCGATTGTTCTCAGCCCTCGTGGTGAGACTTCCTCCTTCAGTCCCCTGCAGCCTGGCTGCTGCCCTCAACATCTCCACTGAGACCACTCCTTCTGTCACCGCAGCCTGTAATTGCTAAACACAGTGGGCACATCTCAGCCCTCATGTCTGTTGCCTTTGCCAAGAGCTGAACAACTTGAACACAGTAGTTAGCCAGTATTTCCTCGATGCCTCTGGGTGCCAGGAATTATTTTTAAAGACAGACATGGTCCCTGCCCTCGTGTACGCACAGTCTACAGGGAGACGGTAAACAAGTCAGTTTCTAAGGACGGCGGTGGGAGTGTGCCCACAGAAGCCATCAGGAACCTGGTAAGAGACAACCTTGAAAAGCAGGCTGAGGGGCTGGGGATGTGGCTCAAGCGGTAGCGCGCTCGCCTGGCACGCGTGCGGCCCGGGTTCGATCCCCAGCACCACATACCAACAAAGATGTTGTGTCCGCCAAGAACTAAAAAATAAATATTAAAAAAAAAAAAAAAGAAAAGCAGGCTGAAGGAAGTCCAGTCAGAGCAGGTGGTGTTCAAGCCCAGGGTGAGTCTGCCCTGGAGAAAAGGGGAGGAGAGAATGTAGGGGAGATGGCCAGAGTGTCCTGGGCCCCATATTATAATGGCTGGTTCCCTGATGCAGAATTTCTGGAACCCACTATTAACATCTTAGAGGCCCAGAATGTTTTTGTTTTGTACTGGGGATTAGACCCAGTACAAAAGAGACCATTGAGCTACACCCCCAACCCTTTTTAATTTTTATTTTGAGGTAAGGTCTCGCTAAATTTTCTAGGCTGACCTGGAATCTGCAGTCCTCCTACCTTAGCCTCCATAGTTAAATGGCATGCACCACCGTACCCAGCTCCAGAGCCTGATTTTACATAATACAAAACCAGAAAGCATTCATTTGTATCAGCAGAAGGAATATTCAACTTGGAATTTCACAAACTGGGGTTGACTCTGGGCTCAGTCACAGATTCAGGGAGTTTGGGCACAACCCTTCTGTATCTTTCTAAGAAATGGGAAGATAGTCCTCCTTCTGAATCCATGACCACCCACAGATTCCTAAATTCACTGATGCTCTAGTCTCTGGTATAAAACAGGGAAGTATTTGCATATAACCTATGCCCAACCTCCATGACTTTAAATAATCTCTAAATTACTTATAATACCTCATATGATGTCAGTGCCTTGTAAATAGCTGTTATTGCTTAGGGAATAATGACAAGAAAAAAAATCTGTAAACATTCAATACAGATGCAATTTTTTTTTCCTAGTTTCTAACTGAGGTTGTTTCTGTGGATACGGGACCTGACATTGTGGAGGGCTGACTATATTCATCGTTTTCCTATCATATGCAGTTGTAGTATAAGGATTTCTTTATCACTTATAGACAGAAGCACTCTAGAAGCTAGGGGACATATAAGGTATTTTATGAAAGTAGAAGTCGAAAGTAGGCAGGAAACCTAAAAAAGGAAATAATATAGTCTGAATGTATGCCAAAAACATGCAATGAAGAAAAGTGGGCGGGAGGGGGGAATGAGGAAAGAACATTCCAGGCATTGGGGACAGTGAGCACAAAGGCTCTGAGGCACAAGGGCTTGGTGGGCTTGAGTAATGGAGCTGGTAGCCTGGAGTGAACTGCAGTGAGCAAGCAGGTATAGAGGGAGACCAAGTTGGTGGACCACTGGGAGATGTTTAGATCTTGTACAAAGGACAGTAGGGAGCCATTGGAGGTGTTTCTGTTGTGGAGAGGTGAGCAGAATCTAATTGGTGCTTCAAGATCACTCCAACAGCGAGTTGGAGAATGGATTCATCAAGGGCTACAGGAGACCAGGGAAGAGATGGTGGTGGGGAAAAGAGGGGCGAGGCGGGGTGGGTTTCAGAACCAGCCGTCCAAAGGACTTTCTACAGTGGTGGGGGTGCTCTATACCTGTGCTACCCATTGCTGTAGCCATTGTCCCCATGTGGCAGTCAGTTACTTGGAATGTAGCTAGTGCAACTGAGGAACTGAATTCTTAAATGCTAATTTGAGTCTAAATAGCCAGATGGAGCAGGCCATTGATTGCCCTCCAGGACAGCACAGGCCTAGAAAGACATGGACAGAGGTTAGGAGAGGGAACAGTTTGGGGACACATGTGGAACAGCATGCTGGAGGTATGTCTCACAGGTAATCTCCAGCCTCCAGGTGGGGAGGGGTGATGGGTCTGAGCCTTCACCCCTTTCCCAGGGTTAGGGGAACTTTGGTTGAAGGACCCCGGGGACAATCCTGGCCTAATCATTGTCATAGCTGTGGCTTTTTGTCCACACTCTCATGACCCCCATGCACTGGGTGCGTTGGCTGGGGTCAGTCCCATGAAGCGGGTTTTATTAAGACGTCTCTTCCAGGTGGGGAAACAGGCTCCCATGGGTGTCCAAAGTCAAGGTCACATAGAAAGTGAGAGGCAACTGGGATTTGAACTCCTGTCTGGTCTGTCTCTAGTGCCCGTGACCTTCTGACCTTCAGCTCTGTGGTGCAGTGGAACTGGCTGAGGGCCTTCAGGGTCCATGGATGGAGGGGGAGCCAGAAGAAAGAGTGACTGGGGGGACATGGCCTGGCTGTGCTCCACGCAGAGGCCACTTGTCCTAAGAGGACTTCGGCAGGGAAGGAGCAGAGGGCAGACTAGTGTCATTAAGGCACTCCTACCTGCAGGGTGGGGTGATTCCTGGGCCTCCATGTCCTTGTTCAGTGGAAGGACATCACAGAGCCTTTCTGCAGAGGTGGCTGTGGGGGTTGCTCATGAGGCTTGAACTTCTCACTGTGGAAGTTTTAGAAGAATACCAAGGCATTGGGACTAAGGAAGATGTCCAATCCTGGCTAGGTCCTGGACTAGGAAAAAAATAAAGGACATCATTGGTGAATGGGCAAACTCTAACATGGCCTGGGGATTGGATCAGAGTCCAGGGTCTGCGTGGCTTCCTGGGTTTGACATTGCAGTGTGGCATGTAAGAGAAGCCCCTGTTCTTAGGAAATCATTTCTCAGCTGTAAAGGGGTAAAGACTAGAATATCTGCAATTAGCTCTCACTGGTTCTGAGACAAAAGGTGTTTATATATATAAAAAGCAAGTGGGGTAAAACGTAAACACTGAATCTGAGTAAGGAGTGCTTTACACTCTTTGTTGCAATTTTTCTGTAAGTTGAAACTGTCAATATAAAAAGTTACCCCCCAAACTTTTAAGTAAAAGCCTAAGAATCCAGCCACGTGGAAGCCCAGCTTCTGGGTTCTGATCCCACTGTGGTCAGGGAGTGTGGGCACGAGGATTGTTCCCTGTTCCCAGGTGGGCCTGATGTACAGCTGAGATGATGGAGGCTGCAGGGCCAAGAAGGGCTGCTTGCTTTTTCCAGCAATTCCCCACCTCCTGGCATCTGTGAGCATGGGCAGGAGGAATCCAGCCAATCATGGCAGAACCAAGGAGACTAGAGGCCGAAGCCCACACAAGCTCTGGGCCTTGAGGACCCTCCTGGGCCCCCATGGGTCTGAATCTTAGTGGTGGGGGCCCCAGAGTTCAAGCATTTACCCCGAGCATCAGGCAGGGGAAGTGCACTCAAGGTCTGCAGAGTTACTAGCAGTTTTTCCAACACTTAACCTGCCATCACCTGGCTCTGAGCAGTGCATGGGCTTGTTTTCATATAATCTACTGCCCATTCTATAGAAAACTGAGGCCCAGAGGGCACTCCCACTCCACTCATGGAAGCCTAGACAAGGGGGCTCCAGCAGACAGAGATATGTGCCTATCTGATGCCACCTTCTGGTTTCAGGGCAGGAAGACTACGACAGGCTGCGGCCCCTTTCCTACCAGAACACCCACCTTGTGCTCATCTGCTATGATGTCATGAACCCCACCAGCTATGACAATGTTCTCATCAAGGTGAGGTCCCCAGCCTGCCTTTGGGGTTAGGGGCCATGGAATCAGGACAGCCCCTGATACTCTGCCTCCTCCTTCCACAGTGGTTCCCTGAGGTCACACATTTCTGCCGAGGGACCCCCATGGTGCTCATCGGCTGCAAGACAGACCTGAGAAAGGATAAGGAGCAGCTGCGGAAGCTCCGGGCGGCCCAGCTGGAGCCCATCACCTACACACAGGTGGGCCAGGACCTCAACCCCACCCACAGCCATAGGCCAAGGTCTCTCCAGTGCTGCCTGCCTCAGCCCTTTCCAAGGAGGTCAGGGTGCCAGCAAGAGACTTCTGAAAACACCCCCTCCATGGCACATAACCATGGCAGAAAGACCTCCAGATTTTTGAGCTCTGTAACTGGGGTGCCTCAGTGGCCTTTCTGGGAGCTGAAGCAAGCAGGATTCTAAGAATAATTTTAAAGCTGATAGCTTATGGATCTGAGCACTTGACATTACTTCCCTCATTTGATTCTTACGTTTCTGAGACGGGTCCTAATAACCTCCCTCAGTTCACAGGGGAGAAACTGAGGCCCAGGGAGGTTCAACAACTTGCCCATGGTTTCAGGTTTCAGGTTCAGCAACCTGAAAGTGGAGTCAGGATCCAGCCCCAGTCACTGAGGACCAAGAGTCTGCCCTATCAACTCCATCCTGCCTTGTACCCAGGGCGTCCAGGAGTGCAGTCCTCATTTGAAATTGGGTGTCCTCTGGAGCCTCTGAGAGTCACAGCAAACCCAAGCTTTGCAGTTTTAGGGCTGAGGCATGTGAAAATAGTTAGAATAAAAGGAACACAAAAAGAATTTAATAAAGAAACTTTAATAAAAGGAATAAGCTTAATAATGACTAATTTATTTTTAAAATAATTTGTTTTGTTTGTTTTTAACTCAAAAAACTCAGTGGCTTAAATTGTGCTGTCAGAGAAGAGAAGGGAGACAGGTGTCTAGGAGGAAGTAGTCTCTGTCTTGGAGCCACCCACTTTCCTCACGGGCTGGGAAACACCGCCCCAGCCCCAGTTCTTAGCATTCAGCCCGCTCTCCCTGGAGCTGGAGAGAGGCTGGGGTGGAGGCCAACACAGGGCTTCTACCAGAGAGCCCTAAAGTCCATCCACACACACTGGTGAGGACTGGTCCTAGGATGGAGAAGGGACAGGAGTCCCAGCCAAGGCCTCTACCTCTGAAGAGTCCCCAGAGCCAGCCCCCAGCCTGTGAATCTCTAACAAGGTATCAGGAGGCCCCAGGCTCCTCATCTAATAATGCCTCCTCCCCCACTCAGGGCCTGAGTGCTTGCGAGCAGATCCGAGCTGCGCGCTACCTGGAGTGTTCTGCCAAGTTCCGAGAGAATGTGGAAGATGTCTTTCGAGAAGCCGCCAAGGTGGCCCTCAGTGCTCTGAAGAAAGCACAGCGGCGGAAACAACGCCATGTATGCCTGCTGCTGTGATACGGGCACAGGCCTCAAGACAGGACTAACAGGGTCAGGGACCCAAGCCTAGACCACTCCTAGGATTCTGCCCTGTCCCTAGCCCTGCAGCACCTGGGATCTCAGGCTGCACTCTTAGAACATTCTGGAACTCTCTCCTTTCTGTGAACTTACCTTTGGGTTCACAGAGAGTGTAGCAGTGATTGAGGGAGCCGGATACATGTCCTTCTACCCTGGAACCAGCTTTTGTTCCCAAGACTCAGGAGGGCCCTATCATGGTCTCCCCCTTGTGTATCCCCCTTTGCACACCCAATTCATGCTTAAAACGTAGGACTTCATGTGAGTACATGGGGATTTGGCACCACTCCACACGGTGCCCCTCAAACTTGCTGCTTCCATGTCACCCTCCTCCCTGGCCTCCCAAGATAGGTATGGCTGCATCCTCCAGCCTCTTCCTTCTTTCCCCCAGACCTTCGGGGCCACCACAGGGCCAGGGCCTATCAGGAGAACACAGGCAACAGCCCTGGAAGTGAGGCTGGCACTAGACCCTCCCTCTTCCTCTGTCCCACACAGCGGAACTCGGCCTTTAGATTGGGCACCATCATGTGTGCCCAGGGGGGGAAAAAGTGATCTCTCAAAAGGTCAGATGCCCTGGGTCACCCCCCTGACCCCTATTCCAGGTCTTACCTCTGGACCCTACTCACACCCCACCAGGGACTCGGGGTGGAAAGTGCCTGGGGAGACCTCTGTTCTCTCCTGAGATTGTCTCCCATCTTCAGGGGCCCAAGAGGGGGCCATTTAAATAGGCTTTCCACATGCCCCTCACAGCCTGCTTGTATCAGGATGTGGAGCTCAGAACTGCCCATCCTGGTCTCCTTCGAGGACTGACATCAAAACCCCGTCCACGCAGGCCCATAGCCTGCCTGTGTCCCTGCCAGCCAGCTGCCTATACCCTGAACCTTTCAGAAGGTCTGCGATTGGGCGTCCAGGACTTTTTAAACAAGTGCCCAGTGGCTCTAATGCCTGAGACAGCTGTGTGGTTGTGAGTGAACCTAAGAGTCAGTGTTGCCTGAGATGGTACCATGATTTTGGCCGGCATCTGTTCTCCCTAGTGCTGCCTGCCTCAGTCCCTTCCAGGGAAGTCAGGGTGCCAGTGAAAGAAGACTTCTGAAAACCACCCCACCAGGTTCCCCAAGGCCCTGCTGTCCCCTGGGGAGTCATCCAAGGACCTCTCGTTCTCAAAGAATCCAAGGCCTTATGGACAAATGATGGTTTAGGGTGGAGGTCGGCAAACTATGGCTGCAGGCCACATCTGGCTACCACCTATTTTCGTAAATAAAGTTTTATTGGCATCACCAAACCCACTTTTGTATGCACTGGCTCCTTTTACTCTACAACTTCAGACTAGTCGCCAGAGAGGCCACGTAAAACATTTATTATCTGGCCTTTGATAAGAGTTTTCTAACTCCCAGCTGGGCAAACTTGGGTGCCTACAAAGGGCTGAACAGAGATCCAAACAAGGGGAGTAGGGCAGGGGTAAAGGGAACGGCGGGACTGCCAAACCAGAGAGCCGGTGCCTGATCTCACCTTGTGGGAATGCTGTTGGATCTTTTCTTTTGTGTGTGTGTGTGTGGGGGGTACTGGGGATTGATCTCAGGGGCTTTCTACCACTGAGCTACATCCCCAGCCCTTTTCTTTTTTCCCTTGGTACCAGGGATTGAACTCAGGGGCACTCAACCACTGAGCCACATCTACAGCACTTTTTTGTATTTTATTCAGAGACAGGGTCTCAACTGAGCTGTTGCCCAGCTGCCAACCTTTTTTTTTAAAGACACTTTCTTGCTATAGTTACCCAGGCTGGTTTTGAACTTGTGATCTTCCCGTCTCAACCTCCTAAATGCCTGGGATTACAGGTGTGCACCACAGAGTCCAGCTCTTACCATTTTTCTAGAGAAGTAGAAATCTGGATTTTAATATGAAATCTCACTGTGGGGAGGGCATTGTTTTTTAAATGTAACTAATTAAAAGAATTTAAAACCCCTTTGAGCAGGGCACAGGGGCAGATACCTGTAATCCCAGCTACTTGGGAGGCTAAGGCAGGAGTATCACAAGTTTGAGGCCAACCTGGGCAACTTTGCCAGACCCTGACATAAAGTAAAAAAAAAAAAGGGCTGGGGATGGCTATCCTACTCCTCAATTCATACTCAAAGGACTTGAAATCAGCATACCACAGGGACACAGCCACATCAATGTTTATAGCAGCTCAATTCACAATAGCTAAACTATGGAACCAACCTAGATGCCCTTCAACAGATGAATGGATAAAGAAAATGGAGTACATATACACAATGGAATATTACTCAGCCTTAAAGAAGAATGAAATTATGGCATTTTCAGGTAAATGGATGGAACTAGAGAATATCATCCTAAGTGAAAAAAGCCAATTCCCAAAAAACAAAGTCTGAATATTTTCTCTGATAAGCGGATGCCGATCCATGGGAGAGAGGGGGAGAATGAAGGAACTTTGTATTATGCAGAGGGGAGTGAGGGTAGGGGTAGGGCTGAGACAGATGATATACAATGAGACAGACATTATTACCCTGCATACAGGTATCATTACACTACTGGTGTGACAAAGGAAGGAAAATTTGTGTTCCCTTTATGTACAAGGTGTCAAAATGCATTCTACTGTCATGTACAACTAATTAGAACAAATTTAAATTTTCTTTTTTTAAAAAAGGGCTGGGGATGTGGCTCTGTGGTAGAGTGCTACCCTAGAATGTGTGAGGCACTGGATTCAACCCCTTACACACACAGACACAAGACACACAGACAAACCTCTGAAAGCCAATGGAAGCGTGTCTGTGGGTACCAGCTATGCGGTCTGGTCTGAGTGGATGTGTAGGGAAATGGTCAAAGGCAGCTAAAGCCTGTGCATAGGTGGGCAGGGACAGGCACTGAACTGAATCTGCTGGCTTCTTCACCCTCCCCACTACAGATCTGGCCGGGTACCCATACAGCAGCTCTGGCCTCACAGGCTGGCCTCTGGGAGTGAGCCTGCTCAGATTGTCCCCTTTCTCACATATTACAGAACCTCTGAGGGAGGTGGGGAATGGGCCATCTCCGAGATGGCTTAAGTCCCAGCCAGCGCTGTGTGTGTGGCTCCTAGGCCCTGAGTACTTGTAGTACACTTGGGAAGGTGGGCTGAGGGAGGGGGTCAGGAAACCCTGAAGGATGGCCTGGTACTTCCAGTATCAAAGTCCTGGGCCACTCGAACAACTCAGAGGCTGGTGCGCCCTCTAGTGGCCAACCTCTTAAACCCTCCCACACTAGGACTAGCCCTCCCAGTGACTCCAAGGGGGCGGAGCCCTCAGGTCTCAGGGAGGCAAGGCCACTTTCCCAAGGACCAGCAGGCAGGTGACTCCGGAAGCACAAAAGACTTGAGACAAACACAGGCAGTGGTTCTCTGAGAACTTAAATAATCCCCCATCACTGAGGGCGGGGGGCCGCGGAGGGGGCTTACAGCGGGGGCAGCTGGGGCCCAGGGGAGGGGGCTCCACAGGATGCTGGAAGGTTTCATTCCACCCTGCGCCTGGGGTGCTGTAAGCAGCAAGTCAGCATAAGTCCAACCCCTGCGAGGCACATCCAAACCCCTTCGTGAGGGGGTTCAAATGACAGGGGTGGGGACAAAGGGGCTCCCTGAGGATTTGGGCCCCACCCCTAGGAAGACTGACCCAGTCTCGGCTATTGCTGAGAGCAGCAGGGAAGGCCTCAGATTCCAGGGAAGTTGGGAGGACCCGGTATTAAATATGTCATAAATAGGGAGACTAATACTGTGCAGAGAGGTGGGCTTCACATTCCTCATGTCCTGCTTGGGAGGGGGGCCTCAGCCCTGTTCCCAGCAATGCCACTGGCCCCTGAGATGCTACTGCCCTTGGCCACCAGTGACGGGCATCCAGGGTGCCAACAGGAATCCCCAGTAGTCTCAAAGTCCGGGACTCCAGGGGCACACAAGTTGAGATGCTCACGGCTTCTTCATCTCATTTCTGTTCTTCTGGAATTTGGCGCACCCAACCTTGAATGCAGTCAAGTCCAAGACTCATGGCTTCTTCGACTTGTTTCTGTTCTTCTGGAGTTTGGTGTGCACGACCTTGAGCGTGGTCAGGAAATTGCCAAGGAAGAGGACGAGGAAGGTGAGAGCCAGCACGAACACCTGCGAACCCACAGGGATGCAGCGCCCAGCAGCACAGAGGGCAGGGTGGGTGGAGAGGAGAGAGAAGCTGGGTCAAGTCCCCTGCTGAAGTGTAGGTCCTCACCTGGGGCCTCAGGGCCCCAGCAAAGCTGCAGGGGTTTCCAGAGGCAGAGGTAGGTGAACTGGGTAAAGGCAATGAGTTGCCAGCATCAGGCTGGTCCTGGAGGAGCATTTGATGGGGTGGGCCTCCTTAGCCCCTAGATCCCTGAGGGGCTCCAAAGTCCCTGAAATCCCTCCCACTATCTCCCAGAGTTTTCTGAGCAATAGAGCCCCAAGGCAGAGAAAAGGAGGTGGCTGAGGACAGAAATGTCCCTAAGCCAGCTCAGCACCAGCAAGGCCTCACCCCTACTCATACACACACACCACACAAATGCCATACCTGCCATTCTCTGCATTCTTCATGGCTGGAGAGCTCAAAGAGCGTGACAGCATTGTAGAGCTGCCAGAACTGGAGACAGGAAGACAGTACTGTTCACCCACTGAAAAGTCAGGGAGATGTCCAGCCCCCAGCTTCCAATCCCACCTGCACGAGGCACACCCCCCAGATAAACTGCACCCTAGGCAGGGTGGGTATGAGGACCAATTCTGGCTTCCTTCCTTAGTATCCCTGGACCCAGAGGCATCCCTGAGGCTTCTTGCTCCTGCAAGAAGACTGACTTGGTCTTGACCATTGGCTAAGAGCAGCAGGGAAGGCCTCAGATTTGGGGGAAGCTGGGGTGGGCTAATACTATGGAGAGAGGAGAGGTCGGCTTCACATTTCAGCTGCCTGTAAACAACTGGTGAAGAAGGGGGAGACCTGAAGACCTTCTATTCCTGGGATCAGCACAGACAGGGGCACCCCAAAATAGCAGGGGAACTCACGTGGCCACAGAAGAGGAAAGGGAGGAGGAAGGTGAGGCCTCGCCACATCCAGGACTGGAATCCTTCTGTAGAAAGCAGCAAGGAGCCAAGGGCCCATATGAGGGGACTCAAGGGGCCACTGCCCCACCATGTACCCTAAAATTAGCCAGCAACTAACACCAGGCAGGCACTGTTCACCTTTTATAGGTGGGTAAGCACTCCACCGCAGTAACAACCCAGAGACCTGCAGAGCCCCTGTCACCATACCCAACTGCTCTCTCAAGTCACCATGAGACAAGGCCCAACACTACTCATGAGGCTCAGGCACTGTGTTTTCACTAATTTCCTTAATTGGTGCAGGAGTTTGCATTTTGGAATGGGCGTTTGCACATATCTCTTCAATCATATTAAAGTAGGGCTTTTTTTTTTTTTTAAACCAGGGATTGAACCCAGGAGCGCTTAACCCCCGAACCACATCTCCAGCCCTTGTTTATATTTTATTAGAGATGCTGAGTTGCTTAGAGCCTTGCTAAGTGGCTGAGGCTAGCTTTGAACTTGCAATCCTCTAGCCTCAGCCTCCAAAGTTGGTAGGATTACAGGCATGTGCCACAGCACTGGGCAAATAGGGCCTATTTTGCAGAGTACTCAGGTAGAAATGACCTTCTCCAATGATAGCAGAGCTTTATTAGAAATAGCTTCCCCTTAAAGTTTAAATGAGAGAAAGGTCTTTTTGATTGAGCATGCCATGGATGAAAAGGGTTAAGCTCATATTCCAATGTACATATGTTTATACATTTTTTAAATTGTTTTGGTGCCAAGAATTGAACCCAGGGGCTGGGGATGTGGCTCAAGCGGTAGCGCGCTTGCCTGGTGTGTGTGTGGCCTGGGTTCGATCCTCAGCACCACATACAAACAAAGATGTTGTGTCCGCCAATAACTAAAAAAAATAAATATTAAAAAACAATTCTCTCTCTCTCTCCCTCCCTCTCCCTCTCTCTCTCTCTCTAAAAAAAAAAATTGAACCCAGGGCCTTGCACATCTAAGCAAGTACTCTACCACTGAGCTATCCCTCAAACCCCTATTTATACATATATGTGTCATACATGAATTATATGCAAACCAATACTAGGCTAATAGTGTGTATGTGTGTGTGTGTGTATTTTTGAGATGGGATCTTGCTATGTTGCCCAGGTTGTCCTGGCTCAAGCCATCTACCCATCTCAGGCTCCCAAGCAGCTGGGACTACATGCACATACCATCATGCCTGCCTAATATTTTGAATATTATAAAATGCAGGCAAAGAATAGATATCTAAAAAGAATAAGGTCAAGGCCTAGCTCTGAGGGCCTGGCACTCAGTCAGCCTCACACTGGGCAATTGAAACAGAATCCATAATGAATTACAAAAAGCAACTCAGATAAAGAATGGCAGCCCTGGCTTTGCTGAATGGAAGGTCTTGTGTCCTTGCAAGGACATGCTCCAGTGTGGGGAGCTGGGCAGGCCAAGGCTTGTTTGGCCCTTGCCTGGCTACTCACCCACAGTGAGGTCCAGGTGATTCCTCTCACCCAGGGCTCGCAACCTGTAGAGGCAGCCCCTCTGGTAATAATACTGTAGGAACTGGACACAGCCTGCAGGGGGAGCACAGCACCTGGGCTTAGGGCTGACAAACCTGAGGACAGGACAACTTTGCCTCTCCCCCAAAGCCCTAAGGTCCCCAAGTTCAGCAGACCTTGCCAAACCACAGGCTGGTGGGACATCACCAGCCAGAGGGCAGAAAATTCACCCTGGTTACAATCCTTTCCCACCCAGGTTACAATCCTCTCCCACCCAATCCCAACACACACATACACACACACACACACACACACACACACACACACACACACACACACACTCACTCTCTCTCTCTCTCTCTCTCTCATCTCTCTTTCTCTCCCCCACCCTCCCCACACTAGTCTGAACCTGCTTTATCCTCTATCCAGAATACAAAGACAGCTCAGATATGAGGACCCGTGTAAGCCCCAACTAGACTGGAAACTTCAAACTTCTGAAATTTTCCTAGGCACGCAGTACAAGCTTGAGAGACACCTGCTGGAACGTAAGATGACAGTGCTAAGCTGGAGGCTGCGCACAGTGGAAGATCACAAGAGATGATGCAGTATAATGGGATAATTCCTAGTTGCTAAACATGAGGAAGTACTGACATAACAAAATAACAGTTAAGATAAAAATTTTAAAAGTTATAGGGAGAAGTGCTGGGAAGTGATATTGGCCAAATTATATTGTTATATTTTGTATTGTGTTCATGTACAGATATGTAACAAATCCCATCAGTATGTACATCTATAATGCACAATAAAAAATGTGGGAAAAATAAAATTAAGTTATAATAGTAAAGCTCTATGTCCATAATTATAAAATGTACATATGAAATATATATACATACATACATATGTATGTATATATATATAAAAACATTTGAGGGGGCTGTGGCTCATGGTAGGGCACTTTGCCGAGCACATGTAAAGCACTGGGTTCAATCCTCAGCACCACATAAATTGAAAAAAAATAAAGACATTGTGTCCATCTACAACTAAAAAAAAATATATTAAAAAAAAACATTCGAAAGGACATAGATCTTAATGTTGATCACCCCTAAAGGTGGATTATTGTACAATAAATAAAAACCTGCTTGCAAACAACTATAAATATATAAATTCAACAATGAAAATTCATTGTTGAATTTATATATTTATAGTTGTTTGCAAGCAGGTTTTTATTTAAAATTCAAGTAATATGGAGGGCTGTATTAGAGCACTTGTGTAACATGCACCAAGCCCTGGGTTTGATCCCCAGTACTCAGGGAAAAAGAAAAAATGATAATACAGAGACAGGTATGGTGGTTGCACCTATCGTCCCAGAAACGGGCTGAGTCAGGAGGATCACTTGAACCCAGAAGTTTGAGGTCAGCCTGGGGTACACAGCAAGACCTGTCTTAGGGGTGTAGCTTGGTGGTAGAGCACATGCTCAGCATGCACAAGGCTGGGGATTGAAGCCCTAGCACCAAAAGAAGGGAGGAAGGGAGGAAGGGAGGGAGGAAGAAAAAGGCAGGAGACAACCCCCTCAGAACCAATTCAGAATCAATTCACTGTATACCAATCCAGAGCTATTCTCTGCTTTTTCTTTTTTTCTTTTTTTTTTTTTTTTTCTGGTACTGGGGATTGAATTCAGTACGATGGATGGAAAGACCTTAACCCTGAGCTACATCCCCAGCCCTTTTTATTCTATCTTGAAACAGGGTCTCATGAAGGTGTTTGGGTTGGCTTGGAACTCTCTACCCTCCTGACTCAGCCTCCAGAGTCACAAGGATTACAGGTAAGCACCACCACATCCAGCCTTCAGAGCTACTCTAAAATGGAAAAAAAAATCCATTTTAAGGACTTATTTAAAACTGGGAAACAAGGTTTGTGGCTCTAACACCACTTAGTTCCCAAAGGTTGCACTCCTGGGCAGAGGCTGGGGCTCCAGAGGGCAGGTGCAGGCTAATGTCCCTCTCCTAGGGCTGGGGGTGGAGAGGTAGGGTGGAGTTCAGCTGCGGGGCAGGGAATGGTTCTTTTCTGGATTTCTGGTCAGGGTCCTCTCCCTCCCTGGTCTCCCTCTACACAGGCCAGCAGTGATGCCACTGGGGGGACCCCTTCAGTGAGAGCCCCAAGAAATCAGTCCCTCCCCCAAAGCTGGGCTCAGACACTCACTCTGAAAAATTGAGAATGCTAAAAACTGATTGCGAAACTTCTGATAAATTAGTCCATTGGGCCTGGAGAGAAAGAGGAAAAAAAAAAGAGATGAGGTGCTCTGAAATCTTGACATTGGTCCCTGTCCCAGCTCCACTTCAACCAAGAGAGAAGAAAAGGTTTTAACGCTAAGCCAGAGTCCCTGGTCTCTGCCCTTATTTGTCCTAGAACTGGGCCAGGTCATGCCCATCATTCTTTCTAAAACCAAGAGAGCTTGGTAGTCATTCTGAAACCTCATTCATTCCTTTGGCCTTGATGTTCCCTGTCACCTCTGCCCCGACAGCAGGCAACTGTGAATTATTCCCAGCTGTGGAAACTCCCAACTGGCCTGACAGGGCCCTGGCAGCTAGGCCTCTAGCCCAGTTGTAAATTCATACTTGCCTTCCTGACCCAAAAGTCTTTCCTAGAAGGGCCCATTCCACACTGACCAGCCTCAATTCATCCAGCTCCCTGGGGAAACTCTAGGGGCCCAGCAAGGGGCAACTCACCAGGTCAGCATCACTCCAGACAGGAACGTAGAGACATAATGGTGAGACACCCACCAGCCTTTAATTCTCGGGGAGAAAAGAAGGAAAGATGCTCAGATGGGGACAGAAACACAGGTGATGGCCTCTGTTTCCAACCTATGCAGCAGGGGCTGCTCTACAGCTGGAAACAGCTTCTTGGAGTAAGAAACCAACAAAACCAAGGGCTGAGATGTGTTCCTGTGGTAGAGCACTTGCCTGGAAATGGGCACAAACCATACTCTGTCCCTTCTTGATCCTACAGAGATAATAATCCTATGCTGACTACCTGCAGATTATCCCAGAGACACACTTCAGGTTCCAGGGGCTTTGGAGACCCTCATAACACATCCCTAACATCACCTGGCCTTCAGGCCCACCTCCCTGTCCTCTCTGGGCACCCAGATGTTCTGAGCATCCTGGCCTTTTCTTGAATTTGCCAAGCCTGCTGCTGCCTCAGGGCAATTATGGACTGAATTACATCCCCTCAAATTCTTACGTTGACATCTACTCTAGTACCTTACAATGTGACTCTATTTGCAGATAGTGTCTTTTTTTAAAAAAAATATTTTTAGTCGTATGTGAACACAATTCCTTTATTTATTTATTTTTCTGTGGTGCTGAAGATCAAACTCAGTGCCCTACATGTGTTAGGCAAGCGCTCTACCACTGAGCTACAAACCTAGCCCCAGAGAGGGTCTTTAAAGAGGTAACTGGAGTTAACAGAGGTCACAAAAGTGACCTAATCCAATGTGACTGGTGTCGTTGTACAAAGAGGAAAAAGCACCAGGGATAAGTGGGCACAGAGGAAAGGACACACTGTGAAGGTGGCCCTCTGCAAGCCAAGGAATAAAGAACTCAGAGACCAGCGTGCCAGCACCTTGATGTTGGACTTTCAGTTTATGGAACCATAAAGAATAAAGATGTAGTTTGAGATGCCCAGTATACAGTAGTCCCCCTGGCAGTCCAGCAGCTAGTACAAGGCCTCTATACCTGCTGCTCTCTCTGCTCCAAGTCTTCTGCCTGCTGGGGGTGGGTCTGAATTCAAGTTTCAGACTAACTTTCACCTCTGCCAAAGGCCTTCACTGACCACCTTGCTAAAACCCTGGATTACATTCCTGTTTAATTTTCTTCATGGTACTTACTGCCATCTAAGATTATGTATTCCTTTGTTACTGAGCCCCCTTTCCCACTCAACTGTAAATCCCAGGAGAGCAGGGATCTTGTCTGTGTTGCTCACTGATGTATCTGTGACACCAAGATCAGAGCAGCTGCTCAGTTACTGTGTTGAATAAACACACAAATGTATATGCACTCACACAGAGCCGTAGCCATGCTATCCTGTGCAGACACAGGGATGACAGACTCTACATGTGTCCACATCTGTCTCGGGTCTCTGCTGGCCTCCCCAGCTCCTCTCTGGGAGCTGCAATCCAAACACATGGAGCAATGAGCTCTGCTAAATGCACCCTGGGAACAGCTGGGCTCCTTCCTCCCAAAGACTAGGCAATGAGTGACGGCCATGGAAATAGTAATCACCTCTGTTCTGTCATAACTCTCTATCAGAACAGAGTACTGAGAAGGCAGATGTCCAGATGCTGTCTCTTACAAGGAAGAGGAACCACGAGAACCTGCTGCTGGGGAAGAGGGTACTGCATGAGGCTTTCTTTTTAATGAAAACCAGCCTGCAGCTTGCTCTCCTGTCATCACCGCCAGGCCAACTGGCAGCTACAGGCCTGCTATTTGGGGATGTGGCAAACAACATTCCAAGGAGTGGCTCTGCCATAGTCTACTTGGCTCTTCCACAAATGGTCACCATGCCTCTTCTCAATACTGTTGTGACATCCTTGTGGAAGTCCCCTGCATGACATTTTCTCCATGGTGGCTATCAGAAGTTGGACAACTGGGGCAAGTTATGACTTGATACCTATCAAATCACCCTCC